GGTAATGTTTTTTAAACCTCCAAAAAAGAATTAAAGTTGCTGGAAGGGAAAACATTAATCACAAGAGAGCAAACCAGATGATGAGTAAAAATGCAATAGGCATGAAAAGCCTGTTCAGATCTCTTCAGCTATGCATCATGCACAAGCTGACAAGAAGCTATGCATTTACACATGGCTAGATATTTCTTGTCTTTTGTTGAGGTGCGTGTTAAGTTTTTTTTTCTACCTCTTCTGGATAAAGCTTATTTCCAAATACCTAGCTTTTAAATATTGCACATAGTTTAGAAGTGACATCAAAACATGTCACTCAAACATACTACTTTTTATTTAGAAGCTTTGTTTTATGTACCATTCCTATGGCAACTGTGTGTACTCCCTCCCATGACACAGCACCCACCTAGAACATCAAGATAAAGTGAAATTATGCATTGCATAATTGAACAAAATTTCACATTCTTTCAATATGACCTGACAGCAATGTATCTACACTTTTGCTGTGGCTTATGCTGTCATTTTTCAATCTGAAAGAAATTTCTACACAGCGATGACCTGCTGTAGATGGGTAGAAAATCACTGGTCATCATTGTCACTGTAAAAAGAAAGATTTCTTCAAAATTGTGCATTTCAAAAATGCACAATTACTTTCTGATTTTGAAGTAGGCTAAGCAGAAATTTGAAAAAAAAAATATCACCGTGTGACAGCAAAATAGTAACTGGCACTTGGTAAGCTCAGATCTATTTGATACGGATACTGCCTGTTTAGCAGTGAAATCACACATTACTGGATCTCTTGTCTGTCTGTCCTCTCCTATAATGCACCTACAAAATCAAGGCTGAAAATGAGCTGTGGGCATCTGAAGTCAGTATTCTATGACTTCGAGCAGCCGTAAACTTACCGATAAATAGATCAAGATTCGTTATATACATACATTATTTTTTTTTTTTAATTACTGGCTGGACATGTGATACTGTTTTCACTCCAGCTCTTTGTTGTTGTTGTCGTTGTTGTTTGTTTGTTTGCTTGTTTTGTTTGAGTGGGGGGTATTTTTCCTGGTAAAAAGCAAATTATATAACTGAATACCTATATTTTATATATTTATTTTATATATTTTTATATATGCTATTTTACATATGTATATAATTTATATAAATATTTATTTTATATGTGTGTATATATTTATATTATATACAATTGAATGGCTATATATTCTGCACTTTATAAAGTTGTGGGCATTTTAGCTGCATCTTGAATATAAATTTAAGTGTTCCTCAGAGAGTTACAGAGCACTGGCTCTTGCTTGATCACAAGGGTCAGAATACTGCCTGGCACAGACCTAGCTTAAACCAATTCACATTTTCCCAAGCGATTACCAGGCACAGTTTTGCATTTTGGACAAGCTGAAGACCATATCCCCCCTGTTCACATGCAGTAACTTTTCCTGGGACAGTACCAGAGCCAACTGACATAGATGTGCATAGCATTGTGTCAGCTGTTTGCAGTGCCCAGAAGCATTTTCAAACTCATTTAATTTATTATATTCTACCAAAAGGAAACAACTTTCACACAAATTCTGCTAGTCTATTAACTGTAAGGCAGTCTCATTCTCTTTTTTTTTCTTTTTTCTTTTTTTCTTTTCATTTTTCCTTATTTCCTTGCAAAGTAGAAATTGGGGTTCAACAGACAACTAGCCATATTTTGAAATTGCTAAGCAAGCCTGGACTTGATTTTGTAATTTGTTTTCTTAAGAAAATACACATACCTATCCCTATGGGCACAGGTATCTATTGTTGTTTGATTTTACTCTTCTTTCCAGGTTGTTTTCCCATAGAAGTTTTTCTCATCACATTTAGAAGAAAAGAGTGCTTACTTTAAGATATGGTGAGATAGCCATGTACAGAAAGAGTTATTTACTCTTAGAGAGAGTGGATTGAGCTCTTGCTTTAGAATACTGTAAAAAAAATGGTCTTAAATGTCTTCACAATACATATTAGTTCAAAACCAAGCACCTTCTATAAGTGCATAGTCAAAATGCTGGTTGAATTATTTAAACACTAGCTAAAACACTAGAGAAATAAATGGTCCTGTATCATTCTTCAAGCCTTGTGAAATGAGAAGAGCTTTTTCATGCAGATCATTCCCCTTTTATGCATTTTATTACTCAAACTGAGCAGAGGCTAAGATCCAGGGTCTGAAAATTTGATTTAAAGTTAGATTATCGGCACTGGTGAGCATAATCACTGAAAACCTCCACAATGTTTATGAAACTTGGCAAGTGTTTATGGTCTAATTAGAATCTGGGACCAAACTCAATTCTACAGTATTCTTCTATATTTCTGTCCTTGCTGGGTGGCAGAACATCTTGTGGAACTGCTCACAAGATGCCCAAGAATCTACACGTGCTGCTGCAGAATGTCTCCCAGTTGCCACAATAAAAAGGTTTATTTTCCTAATTTCTTTACCTTTCCCTGATCAAAACAGTTACGTAATGTTACTGTGGATTGTGAGCTTATTATAGCCAATAATGAAATAACCCAAAGAAAGCCTAAATATTTCTATAACCATTTTAACTTACTTGAGGTCCTCTTTTAGCAGGTGTTCTATTAGAATTCACAATTTTACATTGCTCTTCCTTTTCCTAACATAATAAAAAATAAAAAAAATAAAATAAAAAAATTATCAATAGCGTGGAGAAAACAAATAAGAAATTCTGATTAAATGCACCTAATATTGGTTTTGAATGCTCAGTTTACAATTAGTTCAGATTTTTTTATGACGTAAATATTTTTTTACATCAAAAATCAATGTATTAACATCAAAAATATTATCTCTCCTTTTCTAGCTGAAAATGTCATAAACTTAGAAGCTAATAAAATACATTTCATCTTCTCATGTACTATTTGAGAAGATAAGTGTACGCACTATATTAGAAAGTAATTGCAATTGCTTTGGTCTCCTAAAGGAAGCAGAGTGAAATTATTTCTGTCCTAATTTACATACCATGTTTGTGACTGAGATGAAAATCACATCAATGACCTCTCATGTCTGTCTTCATGTACATGTACTCCCACTCCTCACAGTATAACAACAGTTTCAGGATCCTGCATGTGTTGTAGAATGAATATCCACTACTGTCTGGCAGTAACAAAAAGGCCTTCCTAACCCCAAAAATGCAGCTAAATGTCTATATGCCTCACGTGTACGACAACAGCAAGCAGGATTTTTTTTGTTGTTGTTTATTTTCCTTGGCCTTTTGCAATGGAAAATGAATCCCCATGAAGGGAGGTGTATTTTTTTTTTCATCATCCTTTTTGACAGCTGAGGTACCAGTAGCTTTAAAACACACTTCTGTCAAGGAGCATCAGAAGACCCGAAAGTTAGGAGGAAATGAGAACTGAGTTTAGCTTAGCATGCTAGAACTCCAAGGAAATGGCTCAGTTCATGAGACTGATAAGCAGTGTGATAGATTTGTGGAAAGAGAAAATTCAAAACATTTTTATGTAGACTCAGAAAGAGCATTCAGAGCCTTTAAATGGCTTTGGAAATTCCCCAAGATCCACAAAGCTGTCAAACATCAGCCTAGTTGAAAAGTTTGCCTGTGAAAATGAATTATCCAAATCCAAAATCCAGACCTTGGCTTGAGATTTCTGAGCTAAATAATTCTTCATAGAACCAAAATCTTATTGACACGGAATAGTTCAAGCTACAGATACATTCAGAGCAGCTCCACCAGATATAGATGGTGTAAGTGAGCATACAAAAATGGATTATTTCAGGTCAAACCAGTGCCTACTTATTAATACTTCCATAAATCTAGAAAAGCAAAAGACCCCTATTCTAGTTACATATTTGTTATCATATAAGAGAGTCACACATTACTTGCTATTGAGTCTTTCATTATTCACTTGTAAGCAGGAAGAAAATTCCATCTTCCATTTTTATTGAAAAACATACGAAAACTAGACAGTTGACTGAAGTAGCTAATGCTCAGAGGGCATAAACAATTTGCAACATCTTGCTGTAAAGGCCTCCTTTCCATTCTGCATCATTTTGCCTGCCTCTGCAACACACCCACTGACATCTCCTTACCCTGATTTCCCTCGATGGTACTGACACCCAGTGGGTGCCTCCTCTGCTCTCGAATCTCAAAAGCCACTCTCCATACCACCCACTCTGCCACCTAAACCCACTTAGTGACCCATCACCACACCGAGCAGGCCCAGACTCTTTTCCACCTAACATCCCAGTTCAGACATCTACCATCCCAAAAACAAGTTTTGCCTCCCTACAAATTTAGATTTAGTCCATAACAATAAACTTCATCCTTACTGCTTACCTGTAACAGCACTAGAGCCAGTCTTGAAGACTATCAAAGAATATTTGGTACTGTGAGTACCTGGCATTTTGGCTTCAGTGTGTGTGTGTGTGTGTGTGGGAGGATTAAAAATGATTTACTTTGCATATTGTTCAAATGGTCTTTTTTTTTTTTATTATTTTCTCTGCTTTTAAACTGTAATGACTTTATTTGTTTATGAAAGTGTGCCCTGCATGTCTAGTACTGTTTTATAATAGCTGGATTTGGATCCAGACTCTTATTTCTATCCTAGACATCATTAAACAATTTATTTTCCGTGATAGGGGAGAGCTCTTGGGCAAGAGTTCTCCATTAGCATGAATTATTAACGATATGTATATACATGCATTATGGATTTAAAAGATGAAAAGACAGCTTGCCAGTTATTCTATGGAGCTTTCTCCGTCTGCAAGGCCACTGGATTTCAGACAGCTGTCTGTGCTGAGTTGTCACAGACAAGGAATCTCCCTGATGACCACACGGATTTTGTTTTCCTGTTGCTAAAATTAAATAAAATATTCCAGAAAAAAAAAAAAAAAAACTCTGGTTGGTAATATCTGCTTAATCTTCCCCTTCTTCTTCCTGTTGTAAGGTTATGTTGCAAAATAGCTGATAGCTCAACAAATATTCTGGGGAGAGGTCACAGCACTGTCATCAAAATACATAGACTTTAATTTTAAAATAACTTACAAGAAGGATATTTTTGTAACCACAGCATTTGAGCAAATTGTGTCATTTTTAGATACTCCTGCTGACGCATCTGCTTGTGATGTGTCAAATCACATCTATCAGCTATGTTAAGCTACATAACCCTGCGTGATAATGAAAAATGATGGAAAGAAGCAGCTTTGATACAGTACATCACACTGTGACACAGCAGTGGAAAGTCTAAAACATTTAAATCTCAAATAAAACCTCTTAGATGTGCAGCTGCAGATAGTCTCCACTCATGTTTCTACACAGCTTTGCTCTCTGTGAAAAACATTCTGATAGGTGTTTGCTACTTAAACCTTTCCAGGTAATTAGTTCCCTTGGCACTTCAGGATTCATCCATCCCGCTGCTCAGGATAATGCCACACAGTCCAGTGTCAGAAAAAAAACATCTTTTGGTATCCAGGGGTTAAAAAACAAAAATACTCCTGAGGAGAACTGCATAAAAGGATGAAGGGAGGTTTCTAGAGATTAATTATCACTACTCTCAGTAGGCCCAGGAAGAGTTGATTAAAGCTCTAAAGCTCTTTGTTCCTATCTTTAAAAACCTTTACAACTGGACCCCTTTATGCCTGGCCCTCCTTGTATATCTTTGTGTTGCCGTCTGCCTCTATGAACATTGCCAGGGTCAATACTATGATTTTTTTTTTTTTTCTCTCCAGAAGTACCTGCATCTTTTCCTCTAGGGAACATTTCACAAACCACTTTCAATTGTCCTTCAAGGGTAGTGATTGACATGGATAGTTCTCCAACAGGTTCCTTTGCCCCTGCTTCTGGGTAAACTGGTGGTGGCAGATGAAAACACCTTCCCTTTTATTTCTTCTGCTTCTAGAAGATAACCTGTTAGAAGGAGAGAACAACATGTAGCTGTGGGCTTTGGCAGAGAGCAATGTGCTTGCTTTGCACACTGAAAACTCTTTCTACTGAATAATTTCTCCAGAGAGAAGAGGGTCTTTACTTAGAGCAAATTGTATGCAAATCTCCTCTCACTATCCTGTCTTTTTTTGACAGTGATGGATTGACAGACCAACTACCAAAAGGCATACTAAGGAAATCAGCACTGCTAATTTAAGGGGCAGTGGGGGGAAGACACAAAATACAGTTAAGAAGTAAAAAAAAGTCACATAAAATAGCTTGAAAAAACTTTCCTATAACCTAGAGTGAAAAATATGTTTATTATAACCCCCTTTTTCTTATTATTGCTTTTTGTCACTTTCCCTCCCTTCAATAGTTGCTTCTGTTCTCCTATGTACATTTCAAACAAGTCACTCTTACCATTACTTAATTACAGGTGCAAAATTGCATCCAGAAAAGAAAAATACTGAACCAGTTTTTCATGCCACAACACACATGCACACTTGTACGTGTGATTGTCCCCTCTTTGTTTCAATACATACAAGAAGGTTTTGAGTGAAATTACCCAGGTCATTATCCTGAATTGCATTTCAAGTAGTTTTGGACCTGAATTGGCCTTCACTTTTTCTACGTTCACAGTAATGCAAATACTCTAATTTAAATAGGTTTCTGCTTGACTACAATACAACTATGAAGTGTATGACACATGACTGCCATGGAAATGCAAGACATTTCTTTAGAAAATGCTTGGTTTGGAGTGTGCAATACTTACGTGCTGTTTCTCGTCCATGAGGAAGGTACACAGGTACTATCTACAATTCATGAAAAAAATCCATTTACAAAAGTACTTTCCTGTTTGCTGTTTCTTTTGAGTCATAACCAAAACAAGCTTAGAAATCTCATTCATAGCAAACAGAAACACCACTGCTGATTTAACAGTAACCTTCTTTAATTCACATACATAATATCATACCCATTGTGGAATCACATTTGAAACTTACTTACTTATAGTTTTTTTCTACATGGATTTGCACGTTTGATCTTATCCCAGCAAAAATAAAGACCACTGATACATTATTTTACCTCAGTATTTTACTCCTGCTTATGAAAACCTTCTAAAGGAGCCTGTACAGGTAGAAAACCCAGAGTCTTCATAAACTGTGTTTTCTTCTTTGGTATCAGAATAGAAGGTGCATATATATGTGTTTCAAAACATTGATGACATATAATAGAAATTTTAAAGATAACTTTATGGCCATTAATTACAAAAAACATCCTTACAACAAAGAAGGTAAATGAATAACTTAAAATAGATTAAAAATTCTTATTCTGTTACTGAGTTGTGCTTTTTGTAATACCCTATGAAATTATTATTCAACTGAAAGCAGTAAATATTGGAGCATTTTAATAAATAAAGAGACCAAACATCCCAGATCAAAATAAATCCTGAGTAATATTAATGGCAAAGCTTCCTTAGACTTCATTGGTTTCAGAATTTCACCAACAGGGCAAAATTCAGGCTCAGGAGGGTAGAAATTCTTCTGGATGTATATAAAATCCATAAAATAAAATGAAAAATAATAATAAAAATAAAAACAAAAAAGAAGAAGAAGCTTGAAGCAAAAATAGGGAGTCATATAATTCTCACAGTCGGTATACTAACTTTTGCAAAAAAATAAATAGTAAACAAAAAAAGAAGAAAGTTTAGTTCTTATTCATAAACATACACATTCCAAGAAACACTGAGAATCTTACTCAGAGACAAACAGAAAAATATAAAACTTTATAGAGTTCCTGAAGTAAAGAGGAGAGGGAAGAACATAAAACAATATACAAGATCATAACTACCGTAAACATTAAAACAAAGCAATCTACAAAATCACGTACATCTTAGTAAGCCATGTAAATTTAAAAATATCAAATGATTTCTACACGGTAAAAATGCCCTTATTTTGAAGAAAAAGAGTTAACATATCTTTATAGAATTTTACAGTAGGCCGGCATATTGCATAAATATGTACACTGCTGGGTACATCAAGTCTTTAGGCAATGTACAGTAATAGAAATCAGAAAATGAATGTATGGAGTTTAAATGTGTAAACTATGAGCACCATGTTAAAATACCCAATAGATTAAATTTTGTCACCTTAGTTACAGACAAATAACTGTCTTAAAAATACATTCGTCTGGTCACAATGTATTGCCTTCATCCAAGAAAGTTAACAAAATATTTAACATTGCAACAATGGCAATTTTTAGTTGGCACAAATCAATGAAATTCCAGTGAAGCCAGGAGCTGTACATCGATTTACACGAATTCCGAATTTATAACAAATATACTTAAAAACTGAATTTTAAATGCAGGGTATCAACTGAACATTATTATAATTTGAAACACATTTTGAGAAAAAAGCACAATTATGGAAAATAAACTCAAGAGAAAAATTATAGCCATGTTGTAAACTATATATTGTATAAGGAGCATATTATCCCATACAGCACATATTAAAGAAAAATGAATGTTTAAAGCAGCCTGAAGACCACGTCTAAATTAGTTTTCTTAAGTGTAAAATGTTCACGGACCAATAAGTTAACATTGCAAGTAAAGACAACAAATTGCTTCATAATGATATCATTATTGTTTGATTACAACAAATGATAAAAGCAATCATTCTTACTCAATAACATTGTGGAAAAGGTATTTCTTTTACTAACATTTATCATCAGCGGTTCTATGTACATGAATACTCATCACTCACTTCTGTAGAATCTTAAACCTTTTTCTTTCTCCCAAGCAGTTAAAAGCCTGCATATTTTCTAGTTTGAAAATGAAACCAACTGAACAATTTGATTCTTTTGCTCTTCATAGGTATTGGCATCATTAGAAACATTCTGTGTACTTACAGACAAGACAAAAGTGTCTGATTACTCCAGATTACCCATAACAATAAGAGACAATGATGATTCTTAATGCCTGAAAGATCCTATAGGACATTAGTCTATGGCTCATGTTACCTGAAAAATGGTATGGCTCCAAGAAGGTCATAGTCTGGGCAGACTGCAACTTTCCAAGGACAAAGATACACTTCTCATCTCAGCGGAACAGATTAACTTCTCAATCATTTCTCTGCAGAGCTGTTCTGCGAAATCACTTAACAAAATCTATAACCTAATTTAGGGTCATCATTGCAGTCTGAAGATTTAATTCCTGCGATTCAGATGGATTAAAGGAATAGTATCACTTTTACTGTTTACATTAGGAACACAATCCAGTAATTCTATAAACTGGCAAACTGGTCAGGAACATAGACACAAAAGAACTCCTAGATTTGTGAAAACTGGAAAATTCCAAAGTAAATTAATTAAGCAAGTTTGGAGGAATTTATTTAGAACGATAAAATTCAATTATTTAGCATTTGAAATAATGTTTACTTACAAATTCGACTGTCAAGTCATAGAATAAAAATACACATTTGATCTAAAATACCAGATAAAGTCTGAAAAAGAACTACCTTTATATAAATTACTAAAAGTTATATACTTAATAATAAAACAGAAACTCAAATGAATATTTTATTATGTCATTTAATTTAGCGTGGTCAATTTTAAACTTATCTTGTGATTTATTTTTATATTGTTTTTACTCTTACATATGAAGTCACATATACAAACAGTTCTAGCACTAAAGGCAATACCATGTTAGAAAATTACTACATTTGATGGTTATTAGTCTTTTATTCTCAGTAGTTTATACACTATTGAAAAGCAATTACAGTAGATAAATAATTGTGCAATGTTGTAAAATTGTTTAACAACTTAAAATAGAATTAATTTAATTTAAATTGTAGAAAAAAATGTAAAATCCAAAGTTGTTTGAACATATTTAAAAAATAAAAATACTTCTTAAGTAATAGATGGGATTTTTTCAATGAACATTACAGCTGAAAATTTGAAATTTGTCAGTCTCCTGCTAGATAAAAATGTATGGATATGGATCATGTATAACCACAATTGTCCTATTATTTATTTTTTTCAAGTGTATAGTATTAGACCATTTTCTTTGACAAGACATTGGGTCCAGGGGAAGGAACATGTATGCTGACTCCTGCCGAGGAGCGCAGAAATACAAAAGCCAGCACAAGTCAGCTAAGGTAGGAGGCTGAGTGGCAAGCACACACCTTCAGGTTTCAAATATAGGTTCCAGTGTTTGAGCAACATGGCTTACACACAGGCGTGGGACACCTGCCTGCTACAGGAGGTAGTGGAGACATACAGATTGAGCAGGCATACTCTTGAAATAAAGAAGCAGGATAAAGTCACTTAAAACACGTTTTACACGTACCAGATAAATAGAAATGGGCATTCACTTGAAATTACAAGCTAGAGAAAATATACCCTTTTTATGCCATTATACGGATAGATGCTCAACAACGTCCTGCTCTGTGCCAGTCTCAGGCAGGGGTTATGAGAAGCAGCCCATGACCAAACCGTTCATCTACTCTTTCTCATCAACTTTTTATAATGTAGTTTAGCCCTTTGTAATGACATGACAAGGAAAGCTCACATCCATTGAGTATCCAACACAGTTGAAAAGATGTTGTTTGCTACAGTTTTAACACAATATTATACTAAGACTTGCAATATTGATATAGGTAAGTTCTAATGCTATAGGTACAGAAAATAATAACCAGCTACATATCTTTCAGGATATAATATTACTTTTCAAATGGATAATGTATGTAACTATTAATATGCAATGTATATTACTAATCTTCCAAAATTACTATTCCTTCAGTTCAACTGTATATAACTCTATTATCTTATATAAAAAAAGTGAAAAGAAGTAATTAATTTGAAAGCTAGCCCCTACCTTTTATTATGGAGGATCTACTTCTAGCACTAAAGGTCATGGTGCAAATTCTTAGTTTCACTCATGTGTCTAGACTTCATTTTAACTCACAGCGCTGGCTTTGCTTCACTTCTGGTTTTACTTTAGGCCATCACAGGTGTGGGCCTGATATATCTTGAATTAAAGCAAATAAGAAGATTTCACTGGCTGAAGTCAGGTGAGGTTCAACAGCAATAAAAAGGTTGCAGAGGTAGGGAGAAGTCTCTGAAATACAGTTAGAAATAATGGCAGTATGGTATTACTATTTCTAGACTATGTGATTTATCTATTTCTAATACCAAAATGCTGCAGGTAATAGGGGAGTGAAATGAGGTAAGAATCTGAATCACACCCTGGTGGGACTCCAAGTTCCCCATGGGAAGTTCCGCTTGACCTCCCTTGCATGCTCATACATTCTTTCTAGTTTTCACATGTTGCACAAGCAGCAAGGAGCTTCACTCTGACAGAGCTGTCCCCCACTGAGGTAAACATAAGATGTGTGTAATCAGAGAAAGCCTGGAAATATGAGGCTGACTCTACTGATCAGGGACCCACCTTAAGGTGCTCCCTATCTAACGGGGGACAGAGAGCAGGCTTCCTGTGCAGTGAAGTTATGCTGCCTACCACAAAGACGACCACTGCATTTGAACTCAGTCAGACTAAGTCTAAACATGGGTTTCACAGAGAAAAACGGGCAGGGCTGCCTCTAAGCATGTGCTTGTGTGGATGTGCAAAAAGTAGATATGAAAAATGGAAATCTGCTGAAGGCTTGATGGAAATAAGGCCCCCCTACGCTGTACATTTTCACCATAAGGAATATTCCCCTGTAAGGCAAACCGCTGTTGATCTATTCTTTTTTTTTTTTCTACGACTGATGTTATTTTTGTTACATAGTCTTTTTGTGGTTTAGTAGAAAAGGGATTAGCTCAAACAGTCAGCAGTTTGTGCACATACTACAAGAAGGCAAAATTTGTCACAGTGACATCAAACTGCTAACACAAACAGATCTGTTACCCTTTCTCTCTTGCTCAGTTAGACAGCTGCCCTCAAGGTATTAGCCTCTGAGCCTCCGTGATAAATCACTGAAGTATAGGAAACCTGATTATCCCAGCACAGCAGGGGTAGAGAATGTTATTCAAATGCAGAACATGGAGCAATGACATCCAGGAGGCTTATAATGAAAGATTTTTGATATACTTAAGTAGTTAACAAAAATTTATTGCAAGAGATAGTTTGTCACTAGATTTACAGTTTCAGAGAACATAGTACAAAACATAGTGCATCAGCTTTGTCTAAACATTAAATAGGTGCAAATACACAAGGATAAAAAAACAGAAAGTGAATACTTTACAACAGAAGTTATAGAACTATAAATATATTATATACATTATACATATTCTAAGACATGAGCTTCACTTATATATATATAGTTCATATTAGTATCAGACTATTCAGTGCTTTATAGTATAGGTCTGAACTTTACATGGATGTTTGCATCATTATACTTACAGTAAATGCTTCCCAACGACAGAGGAATTTCAACCAGTTTATTTCACAGAACCATTCTGCAAAGCTGAGGGCTTGACAGGAACCACGAGTCTGTTTATCTGAAGGCTCCTTTCCCCCCAAGAACCTGTCCTAGAAGAGGGGCTGCAGTGGAAGGACAGCTGGATGTGGGGACAGCAGGGAGGGGAACACGGCGTGCGGCAGCGGTGAGAACGCCAGCTGGGTCGGGTGCAGGACTGAGGGCGGCACCAGCGGCAAATGCGGTGGAGCGACAAAAGCCGCGTGGCCTCCTGGACAAAGCCGAGGTCCTACGGGCAGATGAGGTAAAGGCGCTCTGGACAGAGCCGGGACCTGTGAGAGGAACTGCTGGTGGGGCTGGAGGACCTTAAACGTACTGGCGGCAGCGGCGGCGGCCGCGTGCTGCTGCAGGACAGTGTGATGGATGGTGGTAACGGAGGTAGAACACAGCGGTGGCTGCAGCGGGAGGGGCTGCAATGGAGAGCTGGGGGGCTGGATGGCTGGGGGAGGAAAGGTAAACTTCACTTTGTTGGCCAGCATGTTTTGCTGCACAAGCTGCTGATATGCCTCGGACGGGAGGTCTTTGAATTTTTCATGGTTATCTGGAGGGAATATCAACGTCTGGTCAGGCAGGGTGAAGGGGGCTATTAACTGCTCGGTAGTTAAAAAGGTGTGACTGTTTATATGTGCTTCTTTGAATGGCAAAGGTGGTGGGCTGTCAAACATGCCAGAATTACACTGTACCCATTCATTGCTCACCTCATTTATCTTCTCACGTGGCAGAGACTCGGCCAATTCATAATGGCAAACGTATGATTTAGGAGGAGCTTGTTCCAAAGGTCTAGTGGGGGGTGGAGCTTTATAATGAGCTTGATTTTCATGACTGTTTACATTTTCATTTTTCTTTTCGTCCTCCAGAATGTCCTGTGTGTTTGCAGATGCAGGGGCACCACACTCAGCAGCAGAAGCAGCAGTATGTGTGACAACTTCTGCAGATGCACCTGGAGTGCTCTCCAGTGCCACGCAATCTGTCAGCTTGTCTTTTTCCAACAAATGTGAACTATCCATTTGTAGGGCTGACTTGTTTTCCTCCAGTTGCATTGTTTCATCTGTAACTTTTGCATGATCAGCTTTGGGATCCACATTAGTTTCCTCCATGTTGTCTCGAGTCAAGAATTCTCCCAAAACATTTAATGCAGAATTTGCAGAGTTTTCTTTAGAAGGCCTGGAGGTCTCGCTTGTTGTATTCCTGTCAATGCATACATGATTTATTCTAGTTTTCCTCCTCCTGTGTTTACATTTTTCTTTGTGATGCATACCTGAAGTGCTTGTTTGCCTTACATATTCTTCTTCTAGAAATGTCTGTCTGTATGAGCTTTCATCTGAAGAACAGGAATAGGTATGCTGTCTCCGCTTCCTGTGGGATTTTTCTGGTTCATCTGTTAGGAAGTTGTAACCTCTCTTTACGGAGTGATTTTGACTCACACTCTTTTCCTCACTGCAGGGACCTAAACATTTATGCTCTGGGCTACAGATTGATCTCCTGACTTTCCAACTACAGCACATTTTAGAGCACATGCAGTTGTGCCTCCTAGAAGTTTGAGACAGATGCATTAATTGTCTCCGAGAGCTTGCTTTTCTCTTCCTGTGCAGTAGTCTACAACAACTGCGTTGCTCCCTAGTTTTTGCATTCCGAATGTCACATGAGCCTCTGTCCCCATGTATGTGATCTGATGTAGACATGCTTCTTTTATGACCATTGTCAAGGCCAGCTTTTTGATGTGACTGCTGTACCTCATCCATAGCTAACCAGATATTCCCTGCATCATATCTACACTTCTCTGGGTTATTTTGGAGGTGCGGATATTTATTTTCATCTCTGTGACTAATTTCCTTTTCAGTCACTGAGGAAATCTCCATTTCTACAAATGTTGCTTCTCCGGAAGGATGATGATGATGACAATGACATAATTTTCTTCTCCTTTTTCGTTTTCTACTTTTGTGAAGCCATTTTTCATGACTTTCTTTGATCCGAACTTTGTTATATTTCTCATCTATCACAGTGTTTTGTCTTAAGTGGTTTCTTGAAATGTGATACTTATCTAATTTTCTAATCCTGAATGACTCACCCAAGGACACTTTATTCTGAAATTTTGCAAGATCACAATTTCTGACGTGGGAAACATCACTTATAAGGGGTATTGTGTAGTCACACACATTTTTATCTACTTCTGTTTCATGATCACCACACTCTGAAGTAGGTTTATTTGTAAAATCTGAAACTGAGCTATGGTTGGATTCAGTTGTGAGTTGTAAATGAGGTAAGCTTGGCTGATGCTTGGGCTTTTCTTGGTTGTCACTCGCTTTTGACAACTTGAAGTCAAAATATAAAGGATTACAGCTATAAGAAATTGACGGATCTGTACTTGTGTAAATTAACATTTCTGATGGCCACTGAAGAATATTTGTTCCATGTTTGCTAAGAACTGGAACAAATGGTTCACAAGATCGCTTGCGTGTGTCCAGTTTGCTTTGGGGAGCTCTATTACAATCTTCAGAATGTGATGGAACTAATGGATCTGCCTCCAGATTCTTTACTTCAGTTTCAACTGTGACTGAATCACTGTTCCCATCTTTACCATTTTCCTCTACAATGTTCTGAAGGGATAGACAATCCTCCACCACAGGCTGAGCGACGGTCCCATTTCCCGGCAGTTCACAACTGCTGCAGCCCAGGGGTAGGTTATGAGTACCGTCCACAACTGTGGACAGTGTTTGACTTGGTACATCTGCTGTATTTCCATCAGTATTGCAGCCATCCATGTCAGAAGACACTAGTTGCTTTGAATGGGAAACAGCAGGAATTAATACAGGACTCTCTAGCTCTCTACTTTCTTCACTAGCCAGCTCTTTTGAATCCTGAGTTTCGGGAGCTTCTGCTGTGTCAGTGCATTTTTCCACCACTGGGTGGAAACAGCTATTTTTCTCCTCAGGGCACAGGACTATTTCTGCTGCTGATGGAGACTGAAGATTACAGACTCCTGGAACAAATCTACTTCTTCTGCTAAATCCATGTTCTGTGGATGTTTCATCATTATATTCATAGAAAACGGCAGCTGAAGACTCCAGTTTGACTGCTGCTTTCTTAGGAAAAGCAAAAGAGAACCCAACTCGTTGTCCTTGAGCTCCTTGAACTTGATCTCCAAATTTGTTGGTGTCAGATTTATTACTGCATGCATTTTCAGGAGTGGAAGAAATAACTGCAGTAGCATCTTTGCAGTTCTGCACATCGTTTATTAATGTACAGCTGAAATCCTGTTTGTTGGAAGAATCTATGGCAGCATTTTGTGGGATATCATTGGAATTATCTCGCACAGTCACTGTAGTGGATTTGAACATGGGGCCACTTCCAGGAGCACTAGGAAGATAAACAAAACTCAGAGTAAGCACCATTCAGAGAAATGCAAACATAAACATGGTGTTACATTGGTATCTAAAAGATTTTTAACCAAAGAGGAAGAATCTATGGACATACAGATTTAGAATGTGGGAAAAAAAAAATACAAAAAAAAAAGATTGTATTTTATAATAAGATTTGTATAAGAAATCAGAGTAAATATTGTGTCCACAGTTCCTTCATGTGAGGTTATCAAAGGGCTACTGTTCTTATAAAGTAGCTCACTTTTCCTAGACGTACTGGCTGGCCTAATAAAAGACTGTATATTTCCCTAGAAATCTTGCTTCTCCTCCCAGTAGGACATCACAGTTACAATACTATTACTACAAATAGCAGAGCTTTTAAATTCCTTTGTGCTTCAAAATATATTAAAACAGAGAGCACCTCATAGATCACTTCCCTCTTAGTCATGATCCTAGTGACTGCTTCTCCACCCACAGGCAATCACCCAGCAGTTTCTTTCCTATTTGTGTTCACAGACCTGTCGCAATCTCAGCAATTTCTTTCATGGAAAAATAATATCAGGGAAAGTGTTTCAGCTGACAGTGGTGCAATAAGTGATTCATCCCTCTTGAGAAAAAATTTATCACTGTCTACTTCTGTTCTTCATCTCATGTCCTCTTCCCATCTGTTCTATTTGACTTAATAGGAAGCAAAGAGAAGAGCAAAAAGTGCTTAAGCTGCCAGTTTTCTGGGATCCACAGGAACTGTTCAACACAAGGAGAAATGGACCTACATTACAACATTTTTATATATATATATTTTCTTTTAAACAAATTGTTCTGTTTTACAGTGCAGAGCAACATATATACATACACACACACACAAAAAAAACCACCACCAACAACAAAAAACTTTCTCTAACAAAATAAAATGGTGATTTCTTCATAGTGATTTGGTTTGGAAGGGACCTTAAAGACCATCTACTTCCAACCCCCCCACCAGGGGCAAAAACACATCCCACCAGCTCAGGCTCCTCACAAAGCCCCATCCAGCCTGGCCTTAAGCACTTCCAGGGATGGGGCATCCACAGCTTCTCTGGTCAGCCTGCACCAGTGCCTCACTACTCTCATAATAAAGGATTTCTTCCTAATATCTAATCTAAATCTTTTAGTTTAAAACCATTAGTCCTTGTCCTATCACTACATTCCCTGACAAAGAGTCCCTCTCCTGCTTTCTTGTAGGCCCCCTTTAGATACTCTTGTACAGAATCAACCTAGAAAAATCTAGTTAAAACAAATTCTGTGCGTCTGTTTATATCATACCTCTAAGGACACAAAATAGTAGCATACAGCAATTATTAATAAAAAAAAGCTCAGAGAAATTCTCGTTCAGACGACATTGAGAAGAAATTCTCCTTAAGACGACATTGAAAACAATAACAAAGAAGAAGCCCCACAAAATCTGTGCTTCACTAACACGGAAAAGGGGGAGCAATGAGTTTCTTTTTTCCTTTTTCTTCTTTAATATGCCAAATTCATATTTTGAGTATGCTTAAGGGGAACAATATCTAAAGCTGAGAACAAAAAAATGGTGGTCCTCAAGTATTAATTTGAAAATTTAAAATACTGATGAAAGAAAAAGAGTTTCTATGTGACCTACCATAAAAAAATTAATAAAATAAAATAAATTAGATGAGACACTGCTCATGTCAAACAGACTTCAGAACTTTCATGTCATGTCCACCTGCTTAGACTCCGCGAACTCTGTTAGCGTGCTGCCCACCATACAAACAAATAGAGGAAGAGACTATCACTGAACAAGAACTACAAGTCATATGATTCGACTTCTCTGTTAGTTCATCTGCTGAAATGAAGCCTGGGTGAAAAAAAAAACATTTGCATTTCAGCATTTGTTTTTTCCCCCCGAGATTCCATGGTGAAAGGTCAAGTTGGAACATATATTTCCAGTATCATAAATGTGTCATATTTAAGTAAGAATAGAGTCACAGCCAGCAATCTTAATTTCAATAGTATGTCTAGATTCAGTAGCAAAATGTATGATTAGCAAGGAGTCGCTTTTGCAGTGAGAAGTAAACATTCCATTGAGCTAAGGAAAAGAAGCACTTACCTTTCAATATAAAAAATAATCCAGTTATTGAGATTTAAGAATAGATTTCTGGATGCTTTCCCAGGCAAGCAGTTTGAAAACTAAATCACAGAGATCTGTTATATCCTAGAACAACACTGTATTCCTCACCTCATCAATGGAGTAGTGTCAGCCTTCAAATGCATGACCTAGTTCACTAAGCTTTCAACCAATGTGCCTGGTTTTATGAAAAATATATGAAACATCTTTTTTTAAACTAAAAATACATGTCATTCTAGCTCCACTGGAAAAGCAATGTTAAACATTCATTTTTTCACATAGTGTGAATCAAATTACCGTACACATACTGCTTCTGAAATGCCATAAAAATGAGTGTGCTGGGCTCCAGCTGAGGGATTCCAACAGATTTGTGTCCCAGAGCATCAGCAAATAGGTGAAGGATTATTTTAAGGTATTCTTTGTGTTTCAGCAGCCATGTACTTACCACGTTGTCTCTTTCCTTAGCTCAGCTAACTTGTGCAAACGTTGAAGGGCTTTTTCCTGTTTCCTTTCATCTTTTCTTGACTTCGATGCTACATTTCGAGCAAACTCCCTCTGCTTCAGTTCCTTGAGTCTCTGTAATAAATAGTCAAATACACATAAAAACAACCCCAGGAATGATTAACATTTATAATGATAGTTATATTCTAGTAAGCATTCGTACTGAGATTGATTTTCCAACCTAACGAAAGTGATCCATTCAATATATTTCAAATTTACATTTCAAATGAATAACCAAAATACATGGAGATGCTAAAAAGAGGTTATCTGGTACAGAGATAACCTAGATAATTTTACTGTAATTTCTGTGATTAACATAGACCAGCTTCAGTAGAGCTAGACACTGTTCACCCAGCATCATTTTGACCCCTTTACTCTTACTACTGAAAGTGATCAGGACGTCTTGGTATTAAGAGTGCTAAAGCTAACTGGATTTCATTCAGGCTGTCAGTAGGGTCTCACTCCAAGCAGTGCCTTTTTCAGTTTGCTTTCACTAAATATTTTTATCCCTACATCTTTCTTCCAATGAATCCGACAATAAAATTCCCACCGGTAGCAAGCATGTAACAATTAGAATAGTGAATAGGGAGAACTGTGTTAAAGGAATCTTTACACAATGTTGGATGCCAAAGGTGCATTTTATGCCTATGTGGAGTATTGTGGACACAAGCAGTTCTCCTTTTGCACCAACACTGGCAGGTAAATATCATTTTATAGCTCTGAGCCTCTCATCAGACTAATCAAGTCATCATTTGTTCAGCATATACAAGTTGTGGTACAGAAGAACCGTTTACAATTTTTAAGCAATTAAATTATTCTGCTTGATTGTAACGAGCAGGTTTCAATGTGTAAGACAGATGAGTCTGGCAGGAGTTTCATTTGCACAGCCTTTGTGTTGGACTGTCTGCTTGTCTCTTCTGGAACTATTTGTTCTGAGTTTCCCTTCTGTCACATGCCCTGTCAAATAAATGCCCCCTTTTCCAGTTCAGAAGGGCGATGAGCATAATTGTTCTTAGCATAATAGGAACTAGTTATACAACACTATTTTTTTTTTTCTTACAGCTAATACCTCTGTCTTTTGTATGAATGGCTTTAACAATCTGTAAGAATTATAACTAGAGGAGATCTGAGGCCTTTATTCACCAAATACGTACATATAAGTGGAACTTTTCTTGGTTACAGCAGACAGAATATGTGCCTGGCACAAGCTGGTTTGAGGCCTGATTAGGCAGTTTCCAAAAATATTATTTCCTGTATATAAAAGGTTACCTAAGTACAAAACTGTGTCTCCATTCTTGAATGCTATAGTTATTTTCCATTTGTTTTTATAAAGCCATCTGCTAAATTATCATCACCTGTATTTCCTTACTGACCTTATCCATGCTAGTGATAACAAGCAGTGCACTGTGTTTGTATTCTGTCAGGTTTTGCTTGTATTATGCAAATGAAAATAAGATATTACCCAGTTATCCGTAAATGTCACTAGTCCACGCATTCTGAGCACCACGAGGCCCCCAGTCAAAAATTGTTCAAAGTAAATGGGAACAAGTAAAAAAAGCGCGCCTTACTCTTAAAAAGCATCTTTTTCTTAAAATGTTTGTCTTTCCATAAGGCAGGACTATTCACTAATGTGAACTTCAACGATTAGTTTAATTCCTGTTATTTTTGTTTACTTCCGCGGATCAGTAAGCAAATAATTAGCAGGCAGTCATACAGTATTTAAACGTGATTCCTTCATATACTGTCCTCTGCCTATGAACCAGCTCAAAATGTGCAAGTCCTGGCAAGTACAGAGTTCAACAGTTCACAATGAATAATTAAATTAGATCTCTCCAAAAGGACTAAATGCCTTCATCTCTATCATGATGCACGGCACAGCAAGAGCACTCATTTTGGTACCAGCCCACCAAAAGTCTGAGCCTGCCTCCTGGTCTTGCCTTGGGGTCCTGCAACAAGGCTTGCTTGCACGTGGGCACGAGCTGGATTCCTGTAACAAGTCTAACTGCAAAACTGTGCCTGGAGCACAGTTTTTCCACCTCCTTCTACCAAACCCAGCCGGGAGTTGATGCACAGCCATTTAATCATGTCCATCTGAGTCCAGAGGAAAAGGAAGACTTCATGAGCTCCTATGTATGAGACGATGAAACCAAACATGGGAACACCACGTGAAGTGCAAAACCCTGTGCACTTGTGCGTGGATGAAACCACATGAGGTGCAAGCCCAGGTGATCCTGCAGAGGAATCCAGCTTGGGTGTCTGCAGATGCGCAGTGGAAGATACCCACATAAAACTGCCGAAACCCTGAGTTTGGTTGTCCAAAGGGACACCATTTCTGTTTACTTCACCCATGTCTCCATTTCCCAATCTATCACAAGGCAGGTTTTTTTTCAGTATTCCACCCTTCAAAAAGCTTGTACCAAGTTCCCTAATTCTTTCCTGCATTATAAAAGGAACAACAAACAGAGATCCTGCTGCAGGAGTCAAGTGCCTGAAGACCTCTGCGGATCAAAGCCTGGAAGCCTGTCTAAAGCAAGACACATTAATGCATTAAGTGCACTTCTTATTACAAGCCTTCTGACACCCTGCAAAGTGTTTTAGTTTTTTTTCTTCTCTCTTTTTTTTTTTTTTTTAACTGAAGATTTAAGCACTTGCAGCAGCACTTCAAAAGTAATAGGTTTTTACAACATAGAGAAGACATTAATTTAAAAAAAAATATATGCTCAGGACAGTGAAAGCATGTTAAGGCTGAAAAGTGAAATACAATGTAGCTGAACACTATGATAACAAGTGATAAGATGAGGAAACAGAAAACAAAACCAGCCTCAAATAAAACACCTGAAACCTGTAATTCTACATTATCAGAACTGACTCCAAAGAAGGGGAAATCATACCATTCATCAAGACTGATATATGGTCTCTCAGTAGCCTCAATATCCCCCACAAAAAGCAGACATTCTGCCCACACCAAAAACCATCAGCAAGTGACTGCTTATTCAGAGAGGCTTTGACAACCTGCCCCTGCGAAGCTTAGCTCACCAGGCTAGGAACAACTTTAATAGGGCCAAGAACCCATGGGAACAATTTTTCTAATAGCAGGAGTCAGGGGATTTCAGGACAGTGCAGTTCAGATATGATTATGCTAATTTGCTTTTGACCTTAGATTAACAATTAAATTATGTGGACTTTTACGAGGCTGAAAATATGTAGACCATAAATTCATTTTCTGATCAATGGAAGTATAAATTGCAGAATTTAACAGCCATGACATCAAATTTTGCTTCCTTATTGTCTTTTTATTTTATATAAAATCAGGAAAAATGACCTCATGGCCAGCAGCCATTGAATCAACTCTCTAGCATTTATCCTATTGTTAGCTCCCTCCTCCCCTTCAAACAACTTTCCCCATAACATGGGGACTATGTATTGGTTACTCAGCATGCCGTAGAAGGGGTACAAAAGTGGCATTTGGATTTATTTAAAATAAATGAAATATTTTTCCTTTTCAATCTGTGTACATTATACAACATTTTTAATTGTTAATAATTTTTTAGCTTGTATTCATTAAAAAAAAATCTGATTGCAGGTCAATGCAAGGATTAAATAAGGGCATTTCTTAGCTCCTTGTGATTATTCTAGAAGCTGCACATATTCCCCTTTCTCTGTATAGTACATGACTGCTCTCCAAATACTCCCTGTTAACAGAGATGACTTATTATTTCTTTATACGAATTATGGTATGACAAAGAGTGACAATGTACTCATTAGATTAGCACTTGTCACACCAAACCAGATTAGTATCCTTTTGCGAAAAGGGTTGAGTTTAATCTATTACAAATAATACCTGAATAGATCAAAGCTCTTCTAACACCTGTAAACACTCAACTGAGGAATGAAACCTGCATTTAAAACACAAGAAACTGCTTTTCAAGCTGTAAAATAGACCAGTCTTCATTCTGCCTTTGGTGGTGGTTTGTGTGGGCACATTTTGCTGTTCTGCAAGTGGAGACACCTTCACTTTACACAGCAGGACAGATTAGCATCTCTTTACTTGTGTTGCTGTCTGTAATTCTACATACTCTTCATGACCATCTCTCATATTGGTAAAAAGAAGAATATCTCCTCTTGGAAAGATTACAGGAACAGTTAGAGCTCCCACAAACTACAAAACACAAGAGCTTACGCTACTAGTGCCACAAGCCTTCCCTGGCAGAAGTTAAACAAGGCGAGTTATTTCAACAGAAAGGAGAAACCTCAAGGTTCTGCAATGAAATGGGTAATCCAACCACTGCAATAAGAAGACTAAGGAAGAAATTAAAAGACAATTTGTTTTCATTCTACCAGCATAAAATTAATTGCTATAATATGTTCCTGAAACAGAAGAGGAACAAGGGAGAATTTTAACAGCAGTCTACAGCTATTTGGAGGGGAGTTACAAAGCAGATGAAGACACTTCGTAATAATTGCTAGGAAGACCTCCTTGCCAGAAAAACCAAACCAAACCAAAAAGGCATGTTTTCTCATGATCCTGTGCTGGTGAACAGTTGGTGAACAATCAATTCCTTCTAACCTATGTTTTCATGGTTTCTATCTTCCTATGCAGAGAGATACCTCATTCTCTCACTCTATAGATGTATGAACCACAGTTGCCACTTGGTTTTTCAGAGGCCTTTAATAAATCCCATTGGTCTATTGCTGGCTTATGAATAACTCAGTTTGCTGCAAGTTAGATGCTAGTTCTAATTGTCTCTGCCTATGGCTGTATGTACCTCCCCCTTAGGCTGCAAAATTTAAACCCTGTCTTAAAAATTAGGAGCTCCACGAATTCACAACAGAACCACATTTTATACAGTCAAATATTAAGTCTTCCATATGACAACGAACATTCATATTGTGAATAATCCCTTTCCTCTTCTACTTCTGCCACAAATTGCAGCCATATCCTCCTGACAGTCTTTTAATAGTAGAAGAAATCTAAAACATGCTAATATAGATATATGTAGGATTTTAAAATAACAAGTCCTTGGAGTCCACAATATTGCTGCTTCTGCCGGGGAAGAGAAAGAGAAGATTACAGA